ATCATATTGTCTACAAAGAAGGAAAATTTAACACCCTCCTTTCCTATTTGGATACCCTTTATTTCTTTCTTTTGCCTGATGGTTCTAACTAGGACTTCCAGTGCTGTGTTAAATAGGAGTGGTGAGCATGGTTATATTTGTCTTGTTCCATTCTTACTTCTTGTTGGATTGAGCTCTTTTCATGATATAGTGACCCTTCATTGTCTTTTTTTTTTTTTTTACTGTTGTTGGTTTAAAGTCTGTTTTATCTGATACAAGAATAATGACTCGCCGGGCTCGGTGGCTCAGCCTGTAATCCCGCGCCTTTGGGAGGCCGAGGTGAGTGGATTGCCTGAGCCCGCGGGTTCGAGGCCCGCCTGGGCAGCGAGACCTCATCTCTACAATAAATCAAAAATCAGCCGGGCATGGTAACGCATGCCTGTAATTCCAGCTACTTGGAAGGCTGAGGCGGAAGGATCGCCAGAGCCCAGCAGGTCGAGGTCCCAGCCACCGCACTCCAGTCTGGGCAACAGAGTGAGACTCCAACTCAAAAAAAAAAAAAAAAAAAGAATAGCGACCCCTGTTGTTTTGGTTTTCTGTTTGCATGGTGGATCTTTCTTCATCCCTTTACCTTGAACCTATGAGTGTCATTAGAGATGAGGTGGGTCTCCTGGAGAAAGCAGAAAGATAGCTCTTGTTTTTTATCCAGTTCACCACTCTGTATCTTCTCAGTGGAGCATTAAGACCAATGACATTCAAAATTACTGCAGATATGAGAGGATTATTTTCCTGTCATGGTGTTAAGAAGCTTCTTTTTGGTCTCGATTTTAAGGATGATTGATACGGTCTGTAAGCTATATGCTTCATTATGCTTTTATGTTAGTTGACATCATTCTTTCATGTCCATATTTAGAACTCACTTAAGCACCTCTTTTGAAGGGCTGGTCTGGGAAGAACTTTTTTTTTTTTTTTTTGAGTTGGAGTCTCACTCTCGCCCAGACTGGAGTGCAATGGCCGTTCCTGGCCACCACAGCCTCGACCTGCTGAGCTCTGGCGATCCTTCCACCTCAGCCTTCTGAGCAGCCGGAATTACAAGCATGCGCTACCACGCCTGGATGATTTTTTTGATTTATTGTAGAGATGAGGTCTTGCTGCCCAGGCGGGTCTCGAACCTGTGGGCTCAGGCAATCCACTCACCTCAGTCTCCCAAAGGTGCGGGATTACAGGTTGAGCCACTGAGCCTGGCTGAGAAGAACTTTATCTCACCTTCATTTATGAAGCTTAGTTTGGCAGGATAGGAAACTCTTGGCTGCTTTTTCTTTTCTTTAAGAATATGAGAAACGGGCCCACAAGCTCTTCTGGCTTATAAGTTTTCTGCTGAGGGGTCTGCTGTTATTCAATGTGTCTCCCTTGGTGAATGTTTTGTCCCTTCTCTTGAGCTGCCTTTAAGATTTTTTCTTGCATGCTAACCTTGTTTAATCAAATGAAGATGTGCCTTGAGGGTGATTGTCTTGTATAGTATCTTGCAGGAATTCCCCGAATTATTTTTTGTATCTGTGTGCCAATCTCTCTAGCAAGATGGGGAAGTGTTCATGAATTATGTCTTCAAATACTTTCTCCAGAGTGCTCTCATTTCCCCTTCTCTCTCAGGAATGCTGATCAGATGTAGATTTGGGCTCTTTACATAATTGCATACCTCTTTTTTTTTTTTTTTGAGTTGGAGTCTCACTCTGTCACCCAGACTGGAGCGCAGTGGCCGCTCCTGGCCACCACAGCCTCGACCCACTGGGCTCCAGCGATCCTTGCACCTCAGCCTTCTGAGTAGCTGGAACTACAGGCGCACGCTACCACGCCCGGCTCATTTTTTATTTATTGTAGAGATGAGGTCTCGCCAAGTTGCCCAGGCGGGTCTCAAACCCACGGGCTCAGGCAATCCACTCAACCTCAGCCTCTCAAAGGTGCGGGATTACAGGCTGAGCCACCGAGCCCAGCAATTGCATACCTCTTGAAGGCTTTGTTTTTAAAAACTCTTTCCTCTTTATTTTTTCTAAGATGCTCTGAAATTCTTTGCCCTGAATAGTCCACTCTATTGTTAAGGTTTGTGGCTGTTTTGAAATTCTTGTAGCGAATTCTTCATTTCCATGAGTTCAATGTGGTTCTTTCTTAGAAGAGTCATGCCAGCTTTCAATTCTTGAGCTCTTTCTGTGGCCTCTTTGTTTTGGGAGTTCGCTTTGTCTTGGAAATTTTTGAGTTTCTTTGCCGTCCATATCCTGAATTCTATTTCTGTCATCACAGACAATTTTCCTTCTGGACAGGGATCCATTGCTTGAGAGCTGGAGTGATGGTTTGGGGGCCAAGAAACACCCTAGGTTTTTTGTGTTGCTGGAGTTTTTGTGCAGCTTTTTCCCATCTGAGAATGCTAATGCTTCACCCTCTTCCTCCCC